TAAGTTCAATAGTTGACTACAAAAACTATCTTCGAATGGATGCTGATGCGTTTGGAGAATTACTAGAAATGGCAATTTTAAACAACACAATATGATATTTCCACCACTGACGCATGTCAAACACTGACATACACGTTCAAACCGCTTATCAATCAACGAGCGTTGCACAAAATGTATTGTGCAAAATATTTTTTAAACAAAATAGTTGCGCAAACTGTTTGATCGTGTATGGGGGCCTTAAAGTTTTGTGGAAAATGCCGATCGTTAGAGTAAACGATAAAGAAAAATTGAAATTATTAAAAGTCTTGGACTCTCGTGAAGCGTTGTCGTGTGCTTTTAGGAACTGGGACCTCTGTGAGTACCCTGTCCTACCTCAAAATACTTCGCATTCGTGGACGGTGAAATCTATTAGTTTGTTGGAAAAACCTAGATTTGTTGTAATTGGGTTTCAAACAGATCGGAAAAATAATCTGCTAAATCATTCTGGGCATTTCTGTTACTGTTACTTGAAAAACCTCAAAGTTTACTTGAACTCTGAAGTGTACCCGTATGAAGATTTCCATGCAGATTTCTCAAATAACTAAATTTCAATAATGTGCAAGGCGTATACAGATTTTCAAAAGTCTTACTACGACAGAGACCACTCCAAACCTTTGCTTTCAAAACACGAATCTTGTCTACTAGCCCCAATCGTGGTGGTAGATTTATCTCGTCAAAACGACAATGTAAAATCGTCAACAGTCGACCTTCGAGTGGAATTTGAAACTATCAAAAATATTCCAGCAAAGACTACAGCTTATTATCTAATTTTACACGATCAAATTGTAACATATAATCCGTTTAATGGAGATGTAAGAAAATTGTAAAATATAAAACACATTTTTTTTTTTTAATTTAAACAATAAATGCATTTATTTTATTTTATATCGTTCAAAAAAAAAAAAAAAAAAACAATCATAAAAATAATTTACGATTCACTTTGGATGTTGCTTGTACTGCATAAGTCGGTGTTGAAGGTCTGTTGAAATACAGCGGGCCATCGTTTTCATCAACAACCTACATTAACATTGTATAGGTAAATAAAAATATTGTACAGTATAATTATTTTATTATAATTTACCTAAGAGTTAATTGGAGACGGTGGCATATTCGTGTCTTCTCACATAGTAAAGGATAACGGCGAACATTGAAATAATGAAAAACAGCTCTGTATTGGTCCGTCCTAAATATCATATCCGTATTAATTATAAATGCTAAATAATTATATAAAATTATTTTACCTCAGATACGGGTTCTTCTTTGATTACAAACTCTTCCGCTAGCTGTCTTATGGCCAGTAATTTCAGCTGACTGATGAATCTTATTGGACTGTTTAATTCATGACTTGATAACAATACATCGTTGAGATTTTGTATTGTTTTTTTCCATTTCTTCGATATTTTTTCCACGTTTGAAATCCGATTTCAAGTAATCCGATATTTGATTGAATTGTTGAAGTATCGTAGGACGAACAAATGTATTCTTTCCAACACAAGCTTCAAAAATGGCCCATTCTATGTACTGCGGAGCTATGAGATCCGCACGATTAAGCAGTACGCGACAACCATCTTCAATTTTTGATTCGATTACCAAATAATTTTCTCCGCGATAAATAATTTTTGTTAATTTATTTACGTCGTCCGTGAAGAGTAAAAGATTTTTATTTCCATCCGGTGTGTCCAATATCATTGATAAAATATTACCAATAAAAGAGTAGATTCGTTTTAAAAAGCAATACCTTATTGAAATATGGCGAGAAGGTGTTATGATTCGAATTTTAAGTTTGAAATTATCGCTCGG